TCCTGGATCGAGGGTATACGTAACAGTCTCAGTCATGTACGTCCTTCCAATGAGAGCAACTTGGAGCGTGACATGTTTTGGTCTCTTGTCGGACTCATCATCCGAACCCATTTGCTGGAGTATTTCCTCGACTTCAGCAGAATCCGCCTCATCGATGCCGTCGAGGAAGATGTAAATTGACTTCTGTTGCTCGTCTTGCAGGAAAGGTTGTACGAAGAGTTTTCGATAAGCACTGGGGATGGTGCGGATCTCATCAATGCTGCGAAGATTCTTGAGAAGCTGCTTGGCGTAAAAGGGATCGCTTTCGCTTAGTTGGTAGGCGAGATCACGGAGAGCTTGGAGAACTGAACGAGTCTCGGGATTGTTGTCTCTGAAGTAGAAGTACGCAACTCGCGAAATATGCTCTGTTCCCCAAGAAACGAGTCTAGTGGTTAAGTACGATTTGCCAGTTCCTGCGAGAATGTTAGTCGACGTTCAGATATTGAGGTCAGCGACACTTACCGGCTGCACCTGTAATCCAGAGAAAGTTAGTCTTCCTGTCAAGCCACGCCTTGAATCCTCCATCCGTAAGGATCCAATCGCCGGTCGATTCCGCGCGTGACTTGTTAAACATAGCAAAGAAGTCCTCAGGAAACGGCGAAGGGCCTAGAATCTCCTTGAGTTTATCCTGATGCGCCGCGATAGTACGCTCACGGCCTTCAGACCTCATCTGCATCATTGTCTGGTTCATCTCCTCAAGCTTGCTCTGCATGTTCTCCGTTGTGAGATTGAGCTTGTTGACACCTCCGTAAGTATCTGCAAGAACCTGCCTCTCCTCACCAATGTTAAGTGCCTTTAGCTTATCGAGGGCTTCCTGCACGGGCGTCCCTTTGCCGAACACTGTACGGAAGTATGCCTTGAAGCGACCGCGACGAACCTCCTTGGCAGCCAAGACAAACACTTCAAATAGTTGGGCAAGAATCGTGACGACCTTGTTTCGCAGTGCACTGCCCATTTTATACTGAACATAAACATCTAGTCGTGATGTGAAGTCCTACAATTGTCAGTAAAGCCTCAAGCGGGGTTGATCAATATCACTCACCTTCAAATGTTCAAATAGCTCAACGATCGTATCATAAGCTGAGGAAACATCTCTCGCTGCTCCAATGAGATAAGCAACGGCGCCAAAGATTCCCTCCGCTGGCGCAAATGAGTCTGCCGCAGCACCACTCACGATCTCACCGATGACTTCAACGGGAGTAAGGCAAGCCGCCATAGCGCTAGAGATCGACTGCCGCTTCTCGCGGAATTTAGTAAACTGGTCATTCTGCTTGTCGACCTGTTTGATTAGGTCTGTGACGTTGTTTATAGGCGGGTTAAGAAAATCGCCGAGTTTGTCTTTGGAGTCGGAGGAGTACAGCTTGCTAGCATCATCCAGGATTTGCGCAAACTGCGCTTCCGCGGTGTCTTTGTCTTTATGGACCGCCATCATGCCTTGACGGTCCTGCAGACGACCTTTGCAACTAAAAAAACAAAGACTATAATGAAAGAAGTTATGGTGCAAAAGAAAGGTGAATAAAAGGCGGTTGGCGTTTCAGAAATCAGGCTGAGATGGAAGACTTCACGCTATGACTCGTAACCGATGAACTTAGCGGGGGCCAAAACGAATGATCAAAAACTGAGATATCAAAAAAGTCCGAACAAGAATCCCTGTAAGGGTTCGAAAATGAAAGGAGGATCTGGTTGCATTTGCTGCTTACGGTGCATATTATACCATGCCTCTGTTGGTAAGGCTGAGCTGTGTGGTAGGGCGATCTTTAGGCTGTGTTGTAGTAATTCTGGGGCTCTTTCTTGGCTATCGACTGAGAGCTCGGAAGACGGCATTTTCGACAATTGAAATGCCAATTACAAACATTTCTAGTACATAAAATGATGAGAAGCGAACGTCAGCCCTGATGCGTCGTTAAGCGCTCGTCATCAAACGGGAGGCGTTCAGCCTGAGACACTTGCTTATTGAACGGTTTCATCGTATGTCTTGTAATTCTCCCCACAATCCACTCACATTGGGGGGCTTATTTTGTAACGTGACCATCATTTGTGACTGGTTTGTTGTCTGGGTGAGCAATAGAAATGGTTGATCTTTACACTTTCTATTAGGCAGCGATCTGTTATACGTCATTGCTTTAGTCTACGGCGCTCGATCTTCCAGCCTTGTCTTTAAGGTGAGAGAGCGATCGTACCAGCACGACTGATCCCATTTCCAGGACCAGACCACTGCATAAGGCTGTGAAGCCATCCCAAAGTGGACTCAAGATTCCACCGTAACCCTCCTGGCGGCCCGTCCCGCGCCGTATTCCCTCTTCAGTTCAACTTTCTGGCTGCAGTGAGAAAAGCCCTTCAGTGATCTTTCTCACACGCCATAAAACTATGTGCCGTCGGTCCCAACATCGAGTGCAAGGAGTTTCGCCGTCTCAAGAGAGAAGACTGCTTACGAATAACCGTCTTTGAACTTGTATATCTATGCATCTGCTCTGTTTAGCACTCAGTGACTACAGAATTGCGAGACAAGATTCTTAATATGTTCAAGTAGCGATCAATAGGCGAGTAGAACAATGAGGGTATTATTGGAGACATGTTGGCATTGCATGTAAAACGAGATTGACCTTTATATTTCATGAAAAGCTTGAGATTGTGACTTGTGACCACTGGGACGTAGGTCGCCGTTATGCAAGAGTCTAATGTAGCCTAATAATATAGGAGTATTAAACCTGAAGAATGTCAAACTGAAATATTTCAGCATGTTACCTAATCTCTTCAGCCCTGGGCGATAAAGTACAGAATTAAGGTCTAGGGTATGCGCTTTCTTAAGCGACATGACATGAGCCACTCCAGGCAGCAATTACCTTTATTACGCGACCGTGCAATTAAGATTCTGGCAAGATGTTCTCGATCGAGGCGTTGCAGCATCTTTAATTAAGCCGTAAATCATACCTAAAAGTTATAAGAAAAGGTCAAAAAAATGGTTTGCGTCTCTTTGATTACATGTGTCATCCTTAGTGCAGGGGCCATGCTACTATAGAACTGTTAGTGAGTGCTCGAACGCTGGAACTTGGGGGAGACACGCTTACATCTTCTCTGTATTTTTTCAGTTGGACCATTTGCCAGCGGTTACCCGCTGGCGAAAGTTGTAGTATTTAGGTAGCTTATATAGTCTCGGGAAATATAGCAACTCTATTTAATAGTTTTCTCTATATAATTCTATCTTTTTTCAGTATGAAATGGGCCCTATATACCTGTCTTGCTCAGGCATTGCTTAGACAAGCATCTACCTCTGACATGTTGGATTGCACTTACTGGTCGTACTCGACCCGCCTGTCTTCTCTCACTGGACGAAGTACGATACTGATTTAATAGAAAGTCTTTAATTTAGTCGTGATCGGAAGTAGAGCAGCGACCAGACCTTAGTGGAGGATGTTCCGTGCTTCATTGAGTGAGTCTGCAATGATTCCAACTAAAAAGAGGCGGGAGCTGCGCAAGACGGTGTCCAGGTGGTATTTTGGTGGTTGTGCCCTAAAGATATGTGGGGCTTTAGGGCGAACAGGCAGGCAGCCAGCTGGGGCGATCTGCTTCTAGAGAGATATTGACAAGTGAACCCAGTGATATAAGGCATTTAATCCAATGTTGAAATTCAATGGTAGGAAACATTCCAGAATATGAAACTATGGATCAAATACTAGCTAGAACAGAGGTGACAATGCTCTCAGGCGTTTCCTGAGTAACCCCAAGCAGCCCAGAATCCGACGCCTCCCATGACGATGCAACAATACAGCGAGCCTTTCCTCCCTCAACTACCTCATACAATTGAGCAACGGCCAAGTCAAGAATCCAGCCGCCTTCACCAGTGTCGCGCTTCTTTCGCGCTCCATCTATGAGTTCACTGGTTGTTCGTCTCTGGAGATCCCATTCAGTCCCTGTTCCCTTCTGAAATGCTTCCAGCAGCTCGTTTTGACATGTTTTGATGGAGAGCACTTTGACATGTTGATTCGCTGTTTCGTCAGGGTGCTGAAGGACTCCAAGTACCGATTGACCTATTCCTTCAAGAGTAGTTCCAGTGAAGTACTCTTCGCCTTGGTCGTATATAATTGCCGTGCGATTTTTGATGTCGAATCCCATGGTAGGGAACCGCTTTAGCGCCCAGTCAATTGGATTGCCAGTCGCGAGACTGGTCCAGGTGAAGTCTGGGTTCGCAGCAGCATGTTCTTTTGCGCGATCAACACCGACAGTTCTTTGAGCGCGCACTGCTTCGAACTCAGGGTAGTTTCTAAACTCTGGGCCCCAGCCATAGTCATCAACAATGAAGCGCTTGACGCCAGCGGCGAGAGCAGCGTCAATCATGGTGGCTTGCAGAGGGATGCCTGCTGGACCAACAACGCATGCAACGGCATCTTGACCATGCAGAGCTTGGGTGAGTGCATCTAGAGTATAGTCTGTTCTGATTACAGGGATACCATCTGGAAATGTGGACTTGGATTCATTTCGGGTGATGATGGTAACGTCAAAGCCAGCTCTGATGAGAGCGGCAGTGATGGGTGTGCCGAAGTTGCCAGAGGCCTAGCTGTTTTAGTAAATACATTATTTGCACCATGGATGGATGTCTTACACCAAATATGGCAACCTTGTTAAGTTGGGTAGAGGACATTGTATGGGTTCAGTGAGATTGATGTGTGTAAGTGAATGTTTCTATGGATGAGAATGTCTCGATTTGGTAGACTTTATGCCCATTGCAGCCCCACCAGGCGGAATTCCGCCCAGCACTAACAGTACCAGGCTAAAGACGACTTATTCACGAACGTAAGCAATTCTACCTAGCCTAGGTAGGGGAGTAAGAAAATTTTAGGATCTCTATCCTAAGAATGAAAAGACTTAGGTAAGTTTAGTATATGCTAGCGAATATTTAGACCATTTTATTTCAACACCCTATTTGCACGTCCGTTTTCTTTCTCAACTGAGGCCCCAGCCTGTCAGTTCTCCTTTAATGGCCTCCTTCCATAGATAGAATAGCTAGTTTCCAGTCAGATATGTCCTCGTGAAGTTTGAAGTCAACTTACAGCGGCCAATACGCATGAGTGTTCCTATCAGCCATCGCCTTCCGTTGATGGACCAGCCAGAGATTTACTTCCTCAGGCGTCCATCCGTGAGCACGAGTCAATGGCGCCATAGTGAAGGCCTCGAGACCACAAGCCATATTGGTATAGCACCAACTTCCAAGCAACTTAGCCTTCTTGTCTCGGGGCCAAGAGTTGATAGGCCACTTGAACTTCTCAGCAACAACATCTTCAAAGCCGATGTTTTTCATAATATCCACGAGTGACAGGATATCAAGGTATGGCCGGCCAAACATGACAGACGCTTCATTTAACAGGGCCAGAGACTTTAGCATGATATTATCTGGGCTGAGACTGCCGTCATCTGACTTGATGTTCACGTCAACTTCTTGGATTTCGAGATAGCCACCAGGGACAAGGTTGCTGCACTTGTTAGCGAGAACAAAAGAGCCCTGAACAGTACCTACTTGAAACACTTCTTGAGATAATCGCCCCAGTCTGCGATGCAAGATGTCATGACACGACTATGAATGTAGTCAAATGGCTGACTATAAGTCCACTCATCCTCGATATCATCTATGACGAAGTTGACGTTCGGCGGGACGCTACAATCGTCAGCAAAAGATCATTCGCTCTCAAACTTTGTCATACAAGTCTGGTTGGATTGGGGATAGATCAACCCCAATGACCTAAGGAATCATGTTAACTGAGAAAAGTCGACTTGGAAAGGCATACTTACCTGAGCTTCAGGGTGCTCATATGCATAATCGATAGCCCATATGCCAGTACCTGTCCCGACATCCAGAACATGCTTGACCTTGGCATCTAGTTTATTCGGTGGTGATAAACCAAGCTTATCGTCAAAAGTGAGTAGAAACAGGTTATGTTGGAGATCTCGAGTGATTAGCATCTATAGCTCCCTTTTGAAGGTGGCTATCATACCAAGTCTCTCATTTTCAGCTTCGTCATTTGGCAAAGCATATTCTCGATTGATGAATTAGCGTCTAAGTTTCGAGTTTGAGACTGAGAGGACTTACTTCCATCTTTGTAGGCATGATATGTTCTGCCGTTCTCGCGGCGATAATTCAGGATCGAGCTAGAGACACTTGCAGTAGAAGACTGGAGATCCTACAAGCCGTCAGCCCACAAGAACTGTAGCTTTTTATCGCCGTGAAGATCACAAACCTCTCCAAGGGAAGAGTCAGTATCCTCAGTCTAGCGATAGTCAGACATGCCTCCTTACTCAGGCCATCCACGCTTACCGCATCGTCAGGGACGATAGCTGCCGGATCGACTCGTTGCGTTTGAGCCATATCGAAGGCAGAAGAGGGGTATTGTTTTGTGGGTTTCGTCGAGTATCATATCAAGATCTTTGACCACTTTATACGTTGGTCGTCCCCTGCCCTCGGCAAACTGCATGTTACTTGACTTCCTAACACGGATTTATCCGCTGTTTCGTCGGCCCATCGGAAAGACATATGATAACTTCCAAACCAATGATGCTTCAGAGAACTGATAACCCTTTTCGAATAATAACAGTGCTATTGACGTGTCATACTGCGCCGCAAGTTGGTAAATTAGGGTTGAATACATTGCGTACCTATTGGAGCACCTTTCGGTCATGTATATGTTTTTCTGAGTCACTCAAGTCGAATGATTAGTATTCAAACTTCGTTGTAGTGCTGCTTTTGTAGCCATCGTCGAATTTGCATTATCGCCGAGGGGATGAAGTCTTGTTGACATAGTGAACAGAGGACAGATAAACGCCTTATTGATTGAACTTCTCGGTGATATTTAATCATGACGTTGCGTATTTTGTATCTCTATATACACAGAGTACCTGAATACTCTCAATAAATTACAGTGAGAGAAAGGCATTGGTTGCATAAGTAGTTGCCAAGGAGTTGGTCACCAGCAACATCTTGGCTAAGAATTCCTATCCGGGTTTATTCGAGTTATATATATCCGGCACCAGGGAGTTATTTATTGAAGAGTTCTTTTTCTCTTCATATAAGTGTATTTGAATAGTTTCCTACTTCCATCTCGAATTCCTTCGAGAATCTTAAGTCACGACTGAAGACACTCAATTCACCATCATGTACTGAACTCGGAGCTTGACTGCCCATGACACAAGTGATAAGCCCTGTAAGACTTTAGTTTCTGCTGTGTTTTACTGTACGTTGCATGATAACTAGCATAAGATCTGGCCTAACGATTGCCTGTGCTAACAAATACCAATTGGGTGGCATTTTGTGAGTCTTGATTCGGAGAGAAGGCGCTTGGCTGCAGAACATGAGCTTCACTCAGTATCTAGCAACATGTTCAGTTGGAAAGGAAATATACAATAAAGCATCTATGTTGGTGTGTAAATGAGAAGTGTTATCGATTTCAAATGGCAGAGTCGGCTCCTTAGTGGGCAATAAGCCATGGAAGACAGGCGTTGAATACTACTAAACATGACTTTTAGCCTAAATATGAGCAAGTAAGTTTCATTCCAAACAGTAGTTCTAAGGGTAATATGAACAATGTAAGCCAAAGTAATGGCTTCGTTCAATGATTGGACAAGCAACGAACTTTAGACCTACAAGCCGCATAATTGGGGGTCGAAGAATGACCCCGCAAGATCGAATGTCAAGTTTGGGGGCTGTTTCACAGACGCTGATTCATGGAAAATTACTAGCTTGGTGGACATAACTCGGATCTGCTTAGCATCTCGGTATGGCTTAACCGACTCGAGAGATTTGTATAAATACCGATAACCAACGACCCTACGGTTCTTGATGACGATAGCTATCTTTACTTTCCCGTTGCCAAAGGAAGCATAATGACTGAAGAATCAAGTCTGACGTTTAAAAACCCGGTCATTCGGGGCTTCAACCCGGATCCTACCATCTGTGTAGTTCCCGCTACGGACTCGACCCCAACGACGTTTTTCCTTAGTACTTCGACATTTGAGTTCTTCCCCGGATGCGCCATTTACACGTCAACCAATCTGATTGACTGGAAACTCATCGGTCATGCCCTCAATCGTCGAAGTCAGATTGACATGCGTACCGTTGAGCCTGGAGCGGGTAGTTGGGCCAGTACTTTGAGATACCGACCTGAGGAGAAGAGATGGTATTTGGCAAATGGTGTCTTCCACCGCTACCGACCAACTGTTGATGTAAGCCATTAAGACGAAAAGAGAGAATAGGATCAGTCTCTGATAGATATGAACAGGAACGTATCTTCCCCAGAGGATTCTATGTCTGGACCGACAATATCTGGGACGAGAATGCATGGTCTGACCCAGTATACTTTGACAATCCTGGTTTTGACCAAGATGTAAGTAATTTACAACACTGTTCTCACTGCAATACTGACAGGACTAGCTGTTTTGGGACGATGATGGGAAGGTCTATCTCTCGACAACAATGCGCTTCGCCTGGCGGGACCCCAACTCAAAGCAGAAGGACTTTGGAATTCACATCTCCGAGATTGATATCTCAACTGGAAGAACCCTCACCGCCCCGAAAGTCATTCGAAAGTCTCCCCATGGAATTGCCGAAGGCTCTCATATCTTCAAGCGCGGAGACTGGTATTATCTCTTGACAGCTGAAGGAGGTACAGAAGCCGGTCATCAAGAGTGGGTGTTTCGTAGCAAACATGGCCCGTTAGGTCCGTGGGAGAGCCAGGGAAAGCCTCTTTGGTACAATGGACCTGATGAAGAAGTCCAGAGAACGGGACACGTTGATGTCTTTGAAGACGGGAACGGGGACTGGTGGTCTGTCTTGCTGGGTGTTAGACCAGTACAACACCAGGGGAGCTTTTTGGAACCACAACTAGGTATTGTTTTAACATCTCTTAGTGAACAGAATGAAATAACCTCTATAGGGCGAGAGACCTTTCTCGTCAAGGTTGAGTGGAAGGACGACTGGCCAGTGTTCAACGATGGTCACAACATCACACTGAAGACTGTAGGTCGAGATCTCATCAAGTCAGCTTCAAAGCCAAGCCTGCAAAAATGGAAAGCCGATCTTTCAAAAGATGAACTGGAGTTGGGATGGTACCAAAAGAGTAAGTTCGCTCTCCAAACAAATGAGAGTTAAACTGACATATCCAAGACACCCCCATCAAGCAAAGTTATACTCTTACAGAAAAGCCGGGTGTGCTAAGGCTCTACGGCAACTGCTACGACTTAACATCTCCTGAGGCTCCGGCGTTGCTTTTTAGGAAACAGACTTCTTACAATCAGGTATTCAAAGCAAAGATGGAGTTCAAACCTACAGTTAGAGGCTACGAAGCTGGTATTGTGTTGTGGTGGAGCCAGCACTCTTATGCTTCCTTAGGGGTTGTCGCTTCAGAAAAGGACGACGGAAAAGTCGAGACCAGGGTCATTTATAAGGGGGCTGCTGGAAATGCCAACGAGTTCAAAGTAAGTCAAAAGCCACACTGATGAGCAGAAGCTGATACTGTTACTAGACTTCAGAGACAGATCTAGGAGGTAACCTCGAAAACGTTGAGCTGGCTATCCGTGCATATCCGACCAAGTACGAGCTTTCTCTCAAAGGTGGAGGGAAAGAGTCTGAAGTTTTCACTGTCGATGCTAGTGCTTTAACAGTGATGCCACCCCATGGAGGATGTTTTGCTGGTACTATGTTTGGAATCTATTCCTATGGTAAGAACCAGCCCGTGTTAGATCCAGTAGACTTTTCGGAGATTAGCACAGAGGAGCTTGAGTAGCAACTATAGATAAAACTAGAGTTACACCACCACCAAAACCCCTGATAAAGAGCCCCAAAGAGAAGCAAAGTGACAAAGCACCAGAAGCAAAAACTGCAAAAAAACGATTCGCATGTCTTGAACATGTGGCGGATCTCTCCCGCCGGGAATTGAACCCGGGTCTCAAGCGTGACAAGCTTGCATACTGACCACTATACTACGGAAGAAGAGCCGGCTTTAGCCGGTTGTAGTGAGGAACTGTGCTTGTGGTACCGCAGTCAGAGTATATGTACTCCAAAGCGCAAAATCAACGGTTTGGTTTCCTTTATAATCCGGAGTTTTCTATGCACTTTAGAATTTGTGACGCGCTGAAACTGTTGTCGGAATGCATGACTTTCTGTCTTCTGGCTATTTATTCGCCTGTATATATATAATGCTTAAGCCTCGCCCCAGATCTCGTCGGCGATCTCTCTAACCAATGCGAGCTTCTTCTTCTCTTCCTCGAGATTGAGGGGATATCCGCTCTCATGGGTGCTGAATCCACACTGAGGACTGACGGCAATCCTCTGCAGCGCCTCCTTCTGGGTCTCACCAGTTCCCTTAGCCACCCAATCCGCGGCGCTCAAAACTCGCTTCTTCATCTCCTCCTTGTCCTCCAACTGAGGCAACTTGGTGCTGATAACACCGACGACGACATTTTTGTCCTTAGGCAGGAATTGAAGAGGCTCAAAGCCACCGGCGCGCTCAGTATCGTACTCGAGGTAGAATGTGTTGACATTGAGGTTACGGAAGAGCTTCTCGGCGATGATGTCGTATTTGCCTTCGGCAAAGTGACGGCCGCCGATGAAGTTGCCACGGCAGAGATGAATGCCTGTGTGCATGTCTGAGGGAATCTTGGAAAGGCTGTCGTTGTAGAGCTTGATGTAAGCATCTAGGAGATCATCGACGGTGCCAATATTATCAGAGTCAGCAGCCCAGCCATCACGGAACTTCTGGCTGCAGAAGTCTACACGGTGTCAGTATTTGCCATCGAAATCCATGTAAGTCAACTCACACGCCATTCCAGGGTCATCAAATTGAACATTTCGCAGGCCAGCCTTGTAAAGCTGATCAAGCTCGTCCTGGTAGACCTTGGCCACATCCTTGAAATACTCCTCATCGTTCTTGTACGCCTCGGGAGTATACGCCTTGCCTTGCTTATAACGCATATGGAACCAGGCAGGAGTAATCATAGTAAGCTTGATGGAGCCCCAATCCTCCTTTGGCACAAACTTCTGAACGAGCTTCAGCTCATGGAGGTTTGAAACAGACTTCTCAGGGCTGTGGGAGAGCTTTCCGCCAGCAATAACAGACTCTCCAGGCATGACCTGGCGATCAGTCTCGATCAAGCTGACCACGTCAGGGTGGTAAAGACGGAACATGGAAGCATCGGCGTCGGAGAGCTGGGTCGTTCCCTCGAACTCGTCCCACATAAGACCCCAGAAGCGAGTGCGGGTGAACTCGCCGCTGGTCACGGCCTTGAAGCCTAGCTCTTGCTGCGTCTTGACAACATCCTTAATGGCGTCGTTCTCCACCGTCTCAAGGCCGGCGTTCTCGGGGCTAAGACCCTTCTCACGGATCTGCTCTCTGACATCAAGAAGAGCTTGAGGCCGGAGCAAAGAGCCCATGTGCTCAGCGCGGAAAGGTTTAAGAGTGGGCGCCATATTGCCAAATATAACGTGTAAAGTTCAAACAAGCTTGCAGGAGCGAATTGGTCTCCAGAAACGCTTCTTAAATGATCTCGAGCAGAGTAATCTTATGAGGAGGGGCGTTTGCGGGGCTTCCCATCGTGGGGCGGGGAACCGTCCTAATAAGAAAAGGGCTGAATGGCCGCGATCTAAAGTCATTCTTGTCCGTTTTGATCTGCCGTTTTCCGTAAATCCGGTTTATGGTGTTTGGTGGTGGGATTTGGAGAGGGGTAATGACCGGATGGGATAATGCCCGAAGTGAAAGAGGACATGCACTGTGTTGCATTGAGAGCTGGTAGGTTGATCGTGTCTCCGCGGTGAATTTGGTGGTGGTGGTGAGTGAGAGGAGAAGACGCTAAAGATCTTTAACTGAGTGAGGGGGCTGTAATGGTATTTATATCATTATCCGAGAACCTTGAGGTCCTGAATTTAACTACATAACTCGTAATACGTATTCAGATGTCAACTAACGCTTGACTGACGCCAACTTTCTTTCTATTTAATACTTGAAGTAGGCAGTTGTCGAAATGCTACCCCGGGCTTCGTTCGGAAAATATTCAAGGTTAATCGAGTGATTGCAGGCCATCAACATGCAGAATCCGCTCAGTGAAACACGCTCATGCATATAAATCCGGGGAAGCCCTGAAATGAACCACTGAGTAATTTTTGGGCTGGGAGAAACAATCGCCTATGCAGGAAACCCTGCGCGTCCATTAAAAATAGCAGACCTGCCACTTTCGGAATCGCGATATTTCCGGAGCTATCATCAACAATTTCCAGATTGATATGTGATATATACCTAGGTAGGTACGAGGGTGCCCTGCTAATTGCACTATTGCAGAAATGAAGGTAAAACGATCGAATGGAGGTTGCGAGGGCGAGATAGGCAAGTGTCTGACAATGCCTCATGAGGCGTACACCAGGGCATATCAGCTCAATTGGTGGCTTGCAGCTGCATAATTCCACAGCCTGGTTTGTTATCTCCTGATTCTGACTGTTCCCCGCTCCCATAATTGCTCTCTGTTCCCGATTATATTTCTCTCAAGCTCGAACCAAAACGTTAAAACTGCCGCAACTTTTCAGCTTGGCCTTCCTGGCATCCAAACTGTTATGGACGGCCTCTCAGTAGCCGCATCCTGCATCGCTGTGATCCAAGCTGCGGATCAGACCTAGAAGATCATATCGCAGTTTGTAAGAGATTGCAAAGACGCGAAAAATGACTTGGCCGCCGTCAGCCAAGAGTTATTCACGTTGACAAGAACTCTCACACAGCTGAAGGATCTGGTGCCTGATGGTTGCAACTTTGCGGATAATGATCTGACAAATAATACTAAGACAGACATCAACGAGATTGTCTCAAGCTGCTTGGCAGTGGCTAGCGAAATTGATGATATTCTCTCGGGCCATGAAGGAAAGCTGGCGGCACTGAGTTGGGCCACTAGAGGCAAGCGAAAAGTCGCGACGTCTAAAGTGCTTCTAGAAACAAATCGTCGGGCACTCAGTCTAGCTGTCGATACCATCACGCTGTCAGTAATTATTTTTATCTACACCGTGTTGAAGACTAACTCCTTACAGAGCTACCGCCCAGAATATCAAGCAGGATACAGCCGATATTCTCGATGACACAACGCATATGAGAGGTGATATCCATGACTTAGTGGCCAGGATCAGGAACCTCGAAGCGATGGTGGCAGAAAACAACCCCGACGATCCGCGTAAATATGTACTGATGCGCTATCTCAACGATTTATCCTCCGTTGCTGGGTCTGTATGTGACATGCCATCAAGGCCTGCGACACCTGAGTCGAACACCAGCGAGTAGGTCTTCCGGGAGCTCTGATGAAGTATGAAAGCTGACAACAATAAGAACATTGGCCGAGGACATAAATTCTCGTAATTCATTCAAAAACACATCTCTTGGTGCGAAAGAAACGAATTACAATCGAACACAGCCCCTATCCTCCATCCCCCTCATACCAGACAGAATTTCAGGAGCACGAAGAGATCGTTGCTTTACCACTGAGTCCGGGGGTAGCTCAATAAATAATCAGAGAACGCCATCCCCGATTCCGGGAACCTCAAAACTTTCCTATGTAAGGACTAGCTATCGTCAGCTTCTCCCACCGAAACTGAGCCCTTTGTCCTCAGGTTTCCGTGGAATAACACTATCACCCGAAGGAACCAAGCTCCTATGGAGAGATGAACGATACATGCTTCTCGATATCAACTCGGGAGAGGTCAAAGATATTGATCCAAAGCCGCCTCGGTTCCGCCTCTCGGGGTTTCCATCCGTGAATTTCATCATCATTGAAACTCTGAAAGTCGAGATTCTGACAACCGATGCCTCACTTCTTCTCGCGAGTGTGAATACAGCCGTAGGCCAATTCTGGATGTTTGGAGATAGCAGCACAGGCGAATGGACGAGGCAAATGGGCTGTCCAGATTCTTTGACGCCATGCTGCATTCTCTCTCTCCCAATATTGCGCACTATTTGTCCAGCAGGCCGGTGTTGATGGAGCTTCCATTGTCAAGGTAATTAAAACGACAAACCCTGAAGGAAAGTCAAAGCTCATGTGCAAAAGTGCGTTTCTTCCTCAAAGCAGAGAAGTCAAGAAAACACTTTTTACGTTCTCGCATATGGATCAAACTATCACTGCCATTCGACACGTTGAGCGGTCCGCAATCTTGTACACTTGGAAGCTCCATGAGGACTGGTTCACAGATACCGATATAACGAGACAAGTACAAGAGCCTAAAAAGCTCCTCCTACCAGAATATAATGGCAGCGATGACTATTGTCGGCATAGTTCCTGGAAGCAGCATGCGGCTCTTGGCTATAAGATTTCCCAGCGATGCTCAGCCTGAAGATTTTACAATCACTGGCCGGGATCTATCATTACATCATTCTGAAACCATAAAACCCTACAGTCCAGCACCAGGCAGAAGAACCTATAGTTACAGCAGGATACATGCCATGGGGCAAGTTATAATCTCCGAGGACAGAAAGCTTGTCCAGACCACGTCTTCAGTTGCCTACGGGGTCGTTATAAGGGAAACAGGCTCAATGCATGCGATTCAACTGGTTACGAAGATATCAGATGAATGGAATACATTTTCGCCAAATTTCAATCACTGGGTACATATGGGTAAGGATCCAAGGAGCGGCGAGAAGAAGCCTAGAATATATTTTGAGACATTCGAACTCAGATGGCCCGAAGAGTATCATCGAACTTGAAGATATTGCGCGTTATCATACGCTAGACGATTGATCACGCAAATATTTGGTACTCACTCAGAAGAGGTATAAAGGGAAATGGCATTCTCCGAAACTCGTATCGGCTTGCATCTCTGCCATCCGTTGCGAGAATTAATTGCCCATGCTATGTGCCTGGATATAGCGACAAATCGGAAGAGCTAGTTGTATAGCTACAGCTTGGTGCAGACGAAGGTAAGAATAACAGTCACGGACGATGAAAGTTGGGAGTAAAAGTGACAAACGTGGAACAATTGAGTTAAGCTTGGATGGAATTGGAGGAGAGATCATAGGTCTGGTGATAAAGAACGATGTTTTAAATTAATTAACCCCGTCGAGACCTTAAAAAAGTGATAGTTTGCTTCATTCTGGATATCGATATCCAGACTAAATTGGGGACGACCATACTCGATAACCCTTCCAGAAACAATCCTCTCTTGTTTGGGGACAATACAGCCTCGATTTTGACATTTCTCTATCGCAACTATTTAGGATCTCCCTCAGTGTATCTCTTGGGCTGGAGGACCGAGGTTAACGGAATAATAATGCTGCTTCAGCAGCCTTTGCAAGCCGAACCGAGACCGACTCAGCCTCAACGATGTAAAGATGCCTGCCCGTGGGACTTCCAAATACAAGCACTTTCATGTAGGCCGCTGGTCCAGGATCCGCAGGTGAGGCCACAATCTTGTTGTCTGCCCAACTCATCATATAATCCATCAGTGCTTTCACCTCTGTCTCAATTGTCGAGAGCCTGAAATAAAGCCATCAATTGGAAGACGTCAAAAGTAAGGAATATATGTTCTTTTGATCTCATGATAGCACCTACATATACTAAATCACTCTCAACAGGAGTTGCAATGCTTAACCTTCACTTTGATGATAAGAGAATATGTCCATATCAGTCGTGCTTCAACATTTATTGCATAGTCAAATTGGCCGGCGACGGTATAAGCTTGTGCGATAACTTAGGCTCAGAGTGTAGTCATCAATGTAATTACAATCGCTTTCTCTTGCACCTGTTGGTTGTCTTATCCGAGAAGCTGCAGGCCATCATCGGAGAGGTTCTCCAGGCGCAGCTGCTGACAAATGATGGGGAGGTCCTCGGACGATATTGACGAACAATTGGTAAAATATGGGACTCGGGCTCTTGTGGCCGGTTATTGAATGGGAACAGTTCCTGCAATCGTTGTGCTGAGCGGGGAGGATGTACTGATACGTGGGGGTCATCGGAGCTCATCCGGGCGATCAATCTAGCATATGTTGAAGCTCAATCGCGATTCAACGGCTAAAGAAAAGATATAAAAGAGAAGACCATTAATAAAATGGGATTAGCTCAAACAAAAACTCACAGGTCCTCATCCTAGTGTATACCCTCTGACTACCTAAACCCAGTTACGTTCTCGTGTCCCCATCACCATCACCAACCCCACGCCCAGTGGTCATGCTGAACAGGAAAATTGACCGGGATGTGCGGCGGCTGAAAAGCTGGGGTTACGCCGATATCAAGACGAACCTATCATAGCAGACCCAATGTGATATCCTTCTGAATCTTGTAATCTGTAGGTATTTCCTCGTGTGGAAGGTCATCTCGATAAACTTGGATACTTTCAGTGGCTTTAACGGGTCGGGGAGTCCGGCCTTGAAAGGCAGTGTTTGGTGTGACGGATCAACCGATCTGCACTGGAAGATCAACACAACCACGAATCTCGGGATCCGGGGAATTATGGAGGTAGTAAGTGCTCTCTTACTCTTGCTTTAAAATATTCATATAGTCAGTCTTGATCATTCTATCGCTTCAAGATCAGAACCAAATCATGCAATGCTTACTCACATCAAATCGATGACTCCAACAAGTGACGCCATAAAATAAGCACCATCACGACAACCCCTGTCACAAGAACCGTAGATCACCGAGGGTGGCACGCGAGCCCCCCGCGCACCCACCGAGACAAGAGTGGATTAGCACCCAAATTGCACCATCAAACCCCGCGACTTCGCAACCCCCGGGGAGTTCTTTTGTCCTGTTTTTATTCCTTCTCGATATCAAGCCACTGACGATCACCTAACCCTTTCGTATAATATAACATAACGATGCCGCCAGCTGAAAATTCAGAGGCTGGTCGTCTCTTGAAATCTCAACCCCGCGATTCTGCCTATTACACCATGGCTGATAAGGAAGAAGAGCGCAAAGCTTACGGGGCGATTAATAATGATGGGAGGAGGAACAGTCTTGTCGACGCTGCTGATGACGAAGCAATTATTCCCAAGGGAGCTCTGGATCCTGTTTACGAGGCGAAAGCTCGTATTCTCAACCGTGCTGTAAGTTTTGTTTTGTTTTCTTCACTCATGTTATTGATCGGGTGGGCGTTAACGTTGTCATGTCAGATTCAAGATCTCGGCATGGGGCGGTATCAGTGGGAGCTTTTCGTCGTCATAGGCTTTGGCTGGGCTAGCGATAATCTCTGGCCAATCGTCACGTCGCTGATTCTTACACCTGTCGCCAATGAGTTCAGTGTAAACAATCCGCCATATCTCACTCTGGCGCAGAACATTGGTCTTCTTGGAGGTGCAATTTTTTGGGGATTCGGCTGTGATATTTGTAAGTCGTCCCTCCCGCCAGTTCCCTTATTAGACTGATCATTAATTCTGCCAGTTGGGCGAAAATGGGCATTCAACATCACTCTCGGTCTCACGGCAATTTGGGGCCTCATTTCAGCCAGCGCCCCCAATTTCGCAGCCATCGGCATCTTCGACGCATTGTGGTCTTTTGGTGTTGGTGGAAATTTACCAGTTGACTCGGCCATTTTTCTCGAGTTTCTACCGGCATCGCATCAATACCTCCTCACAATTCTCTCCATTGACTGGGCCATTGCACAAGTCATCGGTACACTCATCGCATGGCCACTTTTGGGTAACTATACATGCGAACAAGATACAGTCTGTCGACGAAAGGATAACATGGGATGGCGATACTTTACCATTACTGTTGGTGGACTAACACTTCTTATGTTTCTTGTGCGCTTTGTTCTGTTCAAGATCTACGAGTCACCCAAGTATCTCATGAGCAAGGGTCGCGATGAAGAGGCTGTTAGGGTTGTGCACACCGTGGCCAAGAAGAATGGAAAGACGTCAACGCTCAGTCTCGAGGATCTGAAAGCTTGTGAACCCGAAGGTTACGTTGCACAGACAGATACCAGCGCCGCGTTGAAGCGATATCTGGAGAAGGTCGACCTGTCGCATGTCAAGGCGCTCTTCGTCACGAGAAAGCTCGGACTCAGTACAGGATTGATCATGGCAGTTTGGGCACTCATCGGTCTTGGATACCCCCTCTATAACGCTTTCATTCCGTATATCCAGGCGACTAAGGGTGCTGACTTTGGCGATGGAAGCACGTACCTCACATACCGAAACAGTCTCATTATTGCTGTTCTTGGTGTACCAGGTGCACTTCTGGGAGGATGGCTCGTTGAGTTACCACGACTGGGACGAAAGGGCACGTTGTCACTCAGTACCATACTCACCGGCGTGTTTCTCTACTGCTCCACGACTGCTACGACAAGCGATGCTTTACTTGGATGGCAATGCGCTTTCAACTTCTTCAGCAACATCATGTACGCGGTTTTGTACTCCTTCACGCCAGAGCTGTTCCCCACGCCTCATCGTGGAACAGGAAATGCGCTGTGTGCTTCTTGTAACAGAATCTTTGGCATCATGGCAGTAAGTTCGCCCTCGAGTCCTGTTACAGTCTAATACTGACTTCCGCAGCCTATTATTGCCATTTTTGCAAATTTGAAAACATCTGCTCCTGTATATACCAGTGGCGCATTATTCATAGCAGCTGGACTCTTGGTATTGATGATGCCTTTTGAGTCTAGAGGCAAAGCTGCGTTATGAGCAGTAAGGTGATGCTGAATAGATAATGATGGTATGAATAGCAAAATATGAAGCGAAGCACTCTTTCAGGGTTATTGGGATAGCAATTTCGTGCACCAGTTGCACAGATTAATGATGACAGACTGATGTCAGTCATGTTTCACTCTTTACTTCTTCTCGTCTCGTTTCTTAACTAGATCCGTCTCGAAGGATAATCCAGCCTTCTTTCTAAGTATTCCATACATGGAAGAAGAATCAAGGGGCCTTTGCTCATCTTCGGAGAACTGTTTTGCATCCTTCAGATGTTTGATTGCAACTTCAGCGACCTCCAATCTCGCTCCAGATTGTTCCGCAAGGGAGATTCCGTGGCCAACATCCTTAATTGCTAAATTCAAGTCCGACCAAGGCCGGTCGTCTCTCGCTGGCATGTAAGCACCGGTAGTAAGTCGTTGAGACATGGAAAGTGCCAGAGGCCCGTATTGTTGCTCAACCAGGGCCTCGAGATTCTTGCTTCCGAGACCAGACTTTTCTGCCAGGACATGTGCTTCTGCCACGACTTCCATCATGCCAGCGGTAATGAAGTTTCTGTCTTGTCATTAGCTATGCTTAGATATCAGACGAGAGCCCCTACCCTGCTGTTTTCATCTTACTCGACAGTCTCACATCTTCTCCAACTCGAATTACACCTCTTCCCATGACTCCCTCCAAGTAGGGATTAATCTTTTCCACGGCATCGTCG